CGTATGAATGGAATTAAACCAGAATTATACTTTCGCCTTGAAGGAAATTTACTTGGTTTTGGGGAAATAAATCAATTTGATGATCATACACTGTATAGTATAGTAAAATCATTATATGCTTTATTACTGCCTTATTTGATATGAATGGAATATACATATGTATTTAATTTTATTGCCCTTTGGACATATTTACAACTTTGTTTGTATTTTGCGGGCAATTAAAGATTGATCTGAAAAGATTTTTGACATCCAAGGAAGGAAAAAGGAACGGAACTTTTTACAGGCTTCAATAAATAGTATACAAGTATATGTTATTTGAGTAGTTTTATACTCTCACAATATGTTGCACAGATTATAATAGTTTCGTTCCCCTAACAGTTGTTTGTAACACCTAAAATTAATCGAGATAGATATGAAGTTATATATTTAGCATGATGACGATTTATGATGACATTATGAAAATGAGCTAAAACTACGCCACCTTAACGGGAGTTTTAAAATTAAATTTCGCGGGTTTTAAGAATTCAATTGACAAAATTTATTTTGTTGATATACATGCGCATGAACTACTATACGAATTTCCAGCTATATTCATTGCTTAATTTGTCTGTACCAGCAAATGGACCAAAGAATTTGTTCGTATATTCTTGGTCTAAAACAATATAGTAACGATGCCCCTGCGCAATGGGACTTTTTCCTATTACAAAAAAAAAAATAATAATAATAAAAATACATTAAAAGCGCATCGTTGAACGAGCTGAAGACTATCCCAAAAATCGAGCTTGAGAAATGCTTCGAGGATTGGAATTGCATCGTGTCGAATGGGGAGTATTTTTAATGCAACAAGATTATTGTAAACAAATTATTTCCGTTATTTTTTTAACATACTTCCTATACAGATTAAGCACCAAGGAAGTTATCAAAATTAAGCCTTGCACAAATAGCGCTTTTGTGGTAGTGGATTGTATAATGTTTTTAGAACCCTCAAAATAATTCTAAGACAATAATCGATTTTAGGAAAATCTTAGACCAGTTAAATGTTTATTGTTTATAGTTAGCATTTAAATCAAAATTTGTTGGTAAATTCATACAGAATATCATAGTAAATTTAAAATAAATCTTCGTACAGGTGAGCTTTTACATTTTAACTTAAGTTTTTGCTAAGTGGATCGGTGAACTTCCCACCAATTCATAAACCTTAAAAATGTGACAAAATAAACATGTATGCAAATTCGAAGTAAAAGTACAATAGGTATTCGTTCAAGCCTATTTGCCTGCTTCGTTGTTTAGCTTACCGTTTCACTATGTGCCTAGCCTTATGCTAAACAATGCTAGTTGTGCGTATTGAACTCGTAATCCTATTTTTTGCGCAAAAACTTCAGTTACTTTATGCTTATACACTTATATTATATACAAGTATGTATATACTTATGTATACTATATGAATAAGTAACCCGTGTCCGAATTAAAAAATTATAATTTGCCACTCTTGTCACAGTCCAAGTAGCTTGTCTTTTCAAATATTAATGTGTCGGCCTGTTTGACATTTGCAATTGTCAAATCTATGTATATGTGTGTATATGTGCCTATTGCATTTGCACTCAACTCGCGCGCTTAAAAATGATTGCTGACATATTTGTTTGTAGATGTGTTTGTACAATATGCTTTTACTGCTATCTTTATTGTTGTTACTTTTAGTGTTTTTGTTTCGTTTTTCGTGTGACTGTTTAATTTGAGTTCACATAGCTTTTACAACAAAATTTCGATTTTTGTATACATTTTTCGTACAACAAGTGCGTACCGGTTTACATATGTATGTATGTTTGAGCTTATGTACTGTGTTCCTACGTTTATTTGTATGTATATACGTAAGATATTTTGTGCTTTTTGCAGAATTTGATACAATTAAATTCAAAAGTGTTGATTGTTGTATAATGAATATTACATGAGTAAAATAAATGCAAAATTTGAGCTTTTCCAATTCGAAAAAAAAAACATTTTTAAATAATACATTTCAAATAAAAGTAATAATCAAATATGATAAACACGCAACGAGGCTATAAAATAATTGTAAAAAGAAATAAAAAATGGCTTTCGTTTCGTTGTTGGCTTTTCTTGCCGGCGCATTAATAGGTAAGTAGCGAATGCTAAGTGAAAAGCCCAAAAAAATTTGAAATTTCAAACAACTGCATCAATCACAACAATAATCGCACATATTTTCATTTGTTATTACTTGCTTTATCGCAAAATGTTATTTGCATACATATGTACATACATATATACACGTTATTAAATTTTTTTCTCGCTTCTTTGTTCGTTATTTGCAATTGTATTTAGGATTTTGTTGTTTACAGTACAAAATAAGAAAAAATGTTAACTTTGATTGCATTGAAGCTATAATTCTTCACAAATACAAAAGATTCCTAACAAGAACTTTGATCGGTCAGTTTGTATGACAACTATGTGCTACGGTGATCAGTTCTGAGCAATTTGTACGAAGATTTCATCATTGCCTTAGGGAATAATCCAATCCAACTTTCTTAAAGATATCCCGTCAAATGAATAGGTGTTCCATACTTACACTTATATTTATTTAATCTAAAAATATTAATCAGATATTCACCGTTCCAAAAAATGAGCAGCTTTGTAATGAGAAAAGGACAAATGCAAAATTTCAGACCGATATATCAGAGACGAATAGACTGACGGACATAGCTAAATCGACTTTATCGGGTCTGCCTTTTGGGTGTTACAAATATCGTAGCTTAGAAGTGTTAAAACAAGTTGTGTTGTTGTTGGCAAATTTGCTTTGCAAAATCCCTTGTTGAGTTTACGCTTTTGTTCTCGTATTTAGAATTTGTCACGATACAACATTTTGTGTTACATATTTCAAGTGGCTAATACATTTTTAAAATGCAAACATATCAATATTGCTTTTCCTTAGTTTCCCGAGTTTGCACTCGTGTGCCAAAAGACTGTGCAAAGAACTCGTCAAACGCGATATTTACACATATATCCTCAGTACTAACTGCTCTTATTATAGATATTACCTTACATGATAAATCTTATATAATATTTTATCAAATGGTTATATGCTTTTATTTACGCTTTTTCATTTGGAATGGCACCATTGTAAACTAACTTTACAGTCTTAGGTTAGGTTTCGCAAAATATTACGGCTGCCATTTATTGTTTCAAATTAACTTTGATTGTGATTCTATGAAATAAATAGTGTTAAACAAATTTTCTTCTTTGATATTCATTATAAAAATATAAATTCTCTATACACAAGCAAAAATAATGTTAGGACCAATAATACCTCGAAAAAATATATAAAATTAATAACTTATTCCTATTTATTATATTTTAAAATCGTTAATGTTTTTTAAGTCTAAGACTAAAATTACCGTACTAAAACCATATTCATAGTGTTTAAAATATTGAAATATTGTCGATATTTTTGACAGATTTACTACAGCTGATGCAAAGCATTTCTTCAAAAAATATGTACTTGTATATCAGATCAAAAAAGATTATGGTTTCAGTTCCAAAAAACTTGTTATTTTTGACAAACAGTTTAATTTTTATAAAATTTACTTTTCTTAGTTATGTTTAAGAAAAACCAAGTAGTTTAAGAAATATGCTCGTGTATACATTCATATATCTTTCTTGTACAGGAATTAATATTGTTGTGTTTCGACCGATGGCATTTACTCGGTTGCAAGCAGACTAGAGTATCGAATATAATTGTAATATAAATGTAATTCTCTTCGCTTTTTTCACATGTATCATGCCGTGTATTCCCAATTCAAGTCATGATGTCTCACCATCTCTTTTTTTGTAATTTTTACTTTGATTGTCTGGGAAATACGATTTATCCCAGCTATACTCTATTTGTGCAATGAAACTTTGAACCTTTACCAAATTGTTTAAGTTTCAGCAAGTCGCGGCGATAACTATAATTATTGAACTAAACAAGGAAACTAAATCTATGATTTTTATCATAGAAAATATGTTTTCCCAGTGGAATTTCCAATACAAATAATCAAAGCTGTTGTTTAATTTGGGGCAGGTTATGAGTAAAGAAATCATCTCTTATATATTATATAAATTTGTTCACTGTTTTTTCTTATCGACAATATCATTGAGAACGTCAAGTATTTGATCGCATTTGAAGTACAGGCACTCATATACATACAATTTTGTTGACATTTCAGTCGTTTCTACCGGTACCGGTATTTCTTTCCAAAATAACACCGAACAGAGATCGCATAAGAGAGGGACGCTAACCAAATATAAAGACATAAACTTTCCCTAAATTTATTCGATAGATGTGGGTCTTATGGCTTTTTCGTGACTTCAAAACTCAAACATTTGTAGATAGAACTTGAAACGATCCGAGTTGTGGTCTATTTAAGTATATGTATATACAATTGGGTTATTAGCAAGCATTGGAGAGAGTTACTTATTTAGAAGCTAATACTAAAGAGTTTATTTAAAAACCTTTAAATTGTCTCCTTCTATAGTCCGATTCAAATTTGATTAGATGACAGCTTGAAAAGAAATATTGCATCACTATAGTTAGTTATAAATTCGGATAATATCTAAAATGTATACGCTAAACAAATACGTACTAACCACAAGTTATTACGGTTAGAAAATAAAATAAATTTTATTTTTCTGTGTTTACTACTATAGCACTTGTCTCACGGAATAGAAAGTGTCGAACAAAATCTCACAATCTATATTTTTAGTAGATATTTTGATATTATGTTAAAAAAAAAACAATTCCCAAATCCGTTAATTTATTTTTTTTAATTTTACAATATTTAAAAAAAGTATTATATATCTAATAATTATTTATATACCTAATTTAGTGCTATATACATACATATATGTTCATATGTCATGTCATTTACCCACATTGAACTATAGTTATAAGTTTCCAGTCGTTTTCGCCATTCAAAAATAACCACCAACTCTCTCCATCTTTTTTTCAGCGCAATGTGAAGTCAAACCATCATCCGCTTCCTCCCTGCAACAACAGCAACAACACTTGCTACTGCAACAAAGGAGCATCGTGGCGTTCATGTTGGCGCTGTCACTGGTTTTAAAAATTCCGTCAGTAAATGCATTTTTCTAAAACACAAAAACCATTTTAGGAGCTACAGACAGGCAATAAATGCAAAAATTTACAACAACAACAAGAATGAGAACAAGCTTAGTATTATAAATGAAAACATGAAGAAAACGACAAACAATTTATTATTACCAACTAAACCAGATACAAACACACGCACACAGGCGCACACCTACACACACATAAAGGCTTATAGCGAAACGTATACTGAAAATAAATCAATAAATTTGTAAAGGGCATTCATTGTAGGAAGTGTAGTTAATGTAAGTGTAGATGCAGTTGGGCGGAAGAGTAGTATAAATATACGAGTATATGTGTGTGTACATATGTATGTACGTTTATACAATGTTAGGGGTCAATTATGTTTAATTGATAAAAAACGCACATATAACCATTTAATGTGAAATGAAAATTTGTGCGAGCAAATTTCTTACGCACATACAACATATACCATATACATACATAACAACGAGCAAAAGCATTTGTGCTGCTTATTCAGAAACTCTTGTGCGAATTAATGAGTAAGATAATATAAAAATAATATTTTATAAAGTTTTTGAAACAATTTAAAATATTACAATATTTATTTAACATTTTTTATAATTTTCGTAAATACTTTTTAAAAATTTTAAAATAATTGATATTGTTTTATAAATATATTTTTAATATTTTTTTTGTTATTTCAAAATTTTTAATTAATTAATCATCATTCCCTTTAGTAAAAAATGTGTCTTATTTTTATAATAATTACTAAACTTTCAATTAATTTATTTAATTGTTGATTTTTTTTTAACAAATTGTTTCAAATAAAAACTTTTTCACGTGTTGTTTTTTTTTTTTTTTAATTATAATTTTTGATTACTGTTTTATAAATTTTTAATTAATTTTTTAATAATTTTTTTGATTATTATTTTTTTATATTTATTTTTTCGATAAGTAATTTTTTTCCGTTTTATTAGGTTTTTGTAATAATTGCTAAGTTTTAATTACTTTGCTGATACATTTTTTATATTATTTTTTTATATTGTTTTTTGAAAAAGTAATTTTTTAACCGATTTATTAATTAATTTTTATATTTGTTTTAATATATATATTTTTAATATGTTTGTTTGTAATAATTACAAAATTTTTATTTAATTTTTTTTAATACAGTTTTTAAAATAAGATTTTTTTCGATTATTTAATTTAATATTAATCAAATAATATTTCATTTCAAGTTTTAGATTATTCTTAAATACTTACTGATATTTTTTTTAAATTTTATTTGGACAAGAATTTCTGTAAAACGAACGTAATCGCACACACACACACGTACGCACATTAAAATACTTTTTTACCATTGCGCCAGCTGCCGAGCAGCCGAAACACTTTAGCTTGGAGAACCCAACCAAAGTAGTTAATTGTTTTTTGTAAGCCAAATGGCACATTCCAACATTTTAATGGCATATACAAACATACATATGTATTTGTGACAATTGAAAAATTAATAAAATTATACAAAATTGGACTACCGCAGGCATAGGTTTTTACAATCAACTAAATTTCGAATACGAAGTTAAATTAAAACAAAAAATATATAAATTTTTATCGACGACGAAAAACGTATCGAAAATTTGCCGAATATTAACGATTTTATACCTGAAATGAGCTAAAGCGATGAGATAAGAGGTCGCCAAAGAAAATAAATAAATTTGGTATTATTAAAATATTGTGGGTACAGGTAAACCTCAGATGACATGGATTGGAAGTTTTAGTTTTTTATAATTAAAAATACTTTAAAAAATTAATTACTGCGATTTTTAAAACTTTTTAAATTTTAAATTTTTAGTTTTAGCAAATAATTTAATTAATAAAAAACACTGCTTACAAGGACTCAATATGATAGTTATTCAATATGAAATTCAAATATAACAATTAAAAAAAAATATATATTTTTTATAAAATTACAGTTTAAAGTTCTTAGAAAATTTCTTTATTTGAGAAGTTCGGTCTTTGAAGTGTCAAAACATTGACTTTTTGATACAAATTTAATATTATATGCAATATTAGTACCGAGTGTGAATCAGAGAGAGCTAGCTTGAAGAGACAGTAGCGAGTAGATACATGTTGTATATGACATTTTAAAAGAGAATGATTGAGTGTTATTTGCCAATATCATAAAACTTGCATACTTGTTTAGACACAGCATTAAACATCGGTGGATAAAGTGTGACAAATAATTTTATTAAATGGGAAAATATTCAGGTTCTAAATTTTGCAATCGTTTTTCGAAGAAAAGAATGGAGAAGAGAAAAGACTAGGGCGTTTCGCGTCTTCTCTTGTTCTAGAAACACGATACGAATTATTAAACTAAAATCTGGCTGATTTCTGTGGGGATTGCCGTGAGTTAGAGCTGTGTGAAGTATGTTAAGATAAAATTTTGCTTCTACAAATAATAAAACTAACAAGAGATACTCGCATATACTTCATAGAACTCTCTTCATTTATATTGAAAAGGTAAAATTTTTCATAGCAAATAAATGACAGATGGGTTTTTAGTCGTTCTCATCTGCTTTTCCTTCTTTTTATTATTATTATAATATATTATTCTATGACTTTCCCTCTTTTTTTTCTTGCAAATCGATCTTTCGTAAAGCTATGGTATATCAACAAAAATATTGAACCAGCGAAATATTGCGCAATTATATTGTTTTCGCAGCATTCAAAGCATGCATTGTAGCGTAGTCCTTGTTATATGATGTTTACCTGTAAACGATATTTTTTTAAAGAACAGCAAATTGCTTACACCCCCCCTTATTGTATTTTTGAGTGACGTTAACAAAAAACGTCATAACAAAATTAGTCAAATTATTGAACTGAATTGTCATGAAGCAGTTTGTATGCGGATTGTTTCATTTTGTCACTATTTTTACGCACAGCAACTGTCACGAACAATAACAACTAATTTACCATATATTTTATAACATTTATATAAAAGTGCAATTTATTTATCCAAAAATTTGCGCTTGCCAATACAACACTAGCTTTACTTAAATTACTTGGAGCTAAATTTTCACAACAACAACAATATATGTATTTAGTGCGCAAATAAGCCTTTAGCCTTTATTCCATATAGCTTTCCCTTCAGCTGTGCTGTAGAAACTAAAAAACCAAAGCAGAAATAATTAGAAAGAGAAGAATATAAGAAAAAAGGAAAATAAAATAATGAAAATTAGTAACCTATTCTTATGGCTGACAAATTAATTGGATTTTAATAGCATAAAGTGGAGAATTGCATTAGGAGCAGTAGTTGCAAATTTGTACAATAAACTAAATTAGTGGCACAAACACACACATAACTGCATATTATATAGTAAAAATTATGAAAAAAGAGCAAAGAAAATGCTAAAAATTAAGTATGTATATACATGAGCATATATGTATATGTGTGTATGTGTTTACATGTAAAACTGAAAACAACTTATGTCGAGTTACTAGAATTAAAAAAAGCTGTCAAGCTACAGGCAGACAAATGTTTAAGCTAAAGTGTTGAAAAAAAATAACATTAAGGAAATTAAAATAAAAAATTTATTAATTAAAATTAAAAAAAAACCAATAATTATTAAAAACGATAATAAAAAATTTATAAAATTAAAAAAATAATTAATAAAAATTTTAAAAATAATTATAAAATTAAAAACAAAATTGTAATAATTTATAAAAATTAAGGTCTAAGCTATTTCTATTAATGAAATTAAACGAAATTGTAAAATGAATTGCTAAGCAAACACTTTTTATATAAAGGAACAAGCAGTCTAGCAAAAGTGTGACAAATATTTATATACACACATATATATATACAAAAATAAAATATATATATATATATATTCCAATAAATGGTATATATATATGGCGCAAAACATATCAGTATATTATTATAACGACTATTATTACAATTATTAAACCAAAAGATGATATTATTAATATGAATTTGTACTCAACAGTTTTATAAAATTGGCTCTTATAGATGGAAAACAACAAAAACTACTAAAAACACAACAAAAAACTATGATTATCGTCTAAGCATGTATTAACGAAAACTAAAATAAATAATATTGAAATTATGTATACAAATACACATATATAAACTTAAGCTGAATATATAGAAAGTTATTATATACACACCAATACATATGTAACAGTTTAAATTAATAATAACTGAACATTAATAAGTGTTTGCAATGTCAATGAATTACTAAAACAATAACAGTATATCTGTATCTCCAAAAATTAAATAATACACACACATACACACTTATCCAAACACACATACGCATACAAATCATTCACACGCATAAATAGTTAGTTACATAAGCATATAACTATTAAAAGCATATAAGTAAAAGTATCGCAAAATATTAACAGTTATGCAGTATACTATATATACTATATACATATATGTAGTTTAGTTACATACACACACACGCCTACATGCATACATGTCGTTGAATAGTAGTGTACTCAATTATAACAATTATTAAGTAGTTAATTAATTATATAATTATCTATAAAATATATACATTATTAAATATACATATAAAATGCATATCAATTATAAACACTTCTAAATGAAACGTGAACACTCTGATTGCTAAAAAAGTAATGAAAATACAGATATTATATAGTTCTAAGACTAGTACTGTAACTAGTTGCACATTTATACTTACTTTACTAAGTGTGTATGGCGTATTAGGTTAAGTGGGACAAATATAAAATTAAACATAAAGAAAAACCACATATACATATATATATATATATATATATATATATCTATAAATATTAAAAAGTAAATGTAAAGTAATTTTGTGAACATACTTGTATATGTAAAATTAAAAATAAATAAAATAAGTTATGCAAACAGCATGGAAAGATGTCATAAGATATAAATAAAATATGAAATATAATAAAAAGTATAAATAAACATGTATTTTAATTTGAAAAAAGAAAACATTATTAAATTAAAAAACAAAGTATATTATTATTTCTAAATAAAGCCAATAAAGTAGCGGAAAAAATGTGTGTATTATTTAAGTTTAAAAAACATTATGCTGAGCGGTTGCACGCTTGAAACTACAGACATAGTAGGTTGAAAGCAACAAACAAAAAAACACAACAAACAATATTAAATAATACTAATAGTGATAATAACAAATAACAACTATTAAATAATAAAAAAAGGCAAAGAAATATTTAAAAAATAAAACTGGCTTCTGAAGTCCGGCATAATAAATCCCACAGATACCAGAAATAAATACACAGCTCTAAAAAAAAACAAAAAATGATAATAAATAATTAAGCGATAAAAGCCTAAATATAAAAAATATTAAAAAAAAATTAAAAATTGTGTGTTAAATATGCAATGAGTATATGCAGTGTAGTAGTATACCCTGATGCTTTTCTATTTGAATACTAAGTATTTCGTGAGCAAACAAAAAATAAATAATGATTATAAAATTTTTTATATAAAACTAATAATGTAGTATACTAAACTAGTAAATATTAGCATCCCTGCCTAACTAAACGTGTAGCGGTTATGCCCTAGAACCTCAAATCATATAAATGAAAAGCTTCTTTTATAAATTTCAACATTAAACAATAACAAAACCGGTTTATATGATGTTAGTAAATAAAATATGGAGTTACGCAGTTTTTGCTGGCATTATAGTGATGAAGTGGGAAGCTTAACCAATTGACAGCGGTATAAAATAGTGACAAACGGAGAAGTGTTACTTGAAAATAATTATAAAAAGTATACTTGAAGACTATCCATAATCTTAATTATTTAATTTAATAATTATTTCAAGGCATTTAATGAAGTTGTTTTCAATAGTATATTTCGTTAATTTAAATATGTTTGACCACTGCAATAATGCCATTTAATATGATATACTGATGTTTAAAACGAATGTATGGTATTTTTCGAAAATTACAATAAGGTGGCAACACCATCAACTATTTTGATATTTAAATCGCGGAAATTATAATTTGTTGGGATTAATATAAATTTAAAAGCTAAACTTCGGTATTGCCAGATTATTTTTTTATATTGCATTATATATTAAATATATAATAATACCAAGGAAATTAACATTATTTATATAAATATAAATTTTAAAGGTAAATCTCAGCAAATTTCCATTAAAAAATTTGGGGTTGCCAGATTGTTTTTTTATAAACGATGTTTATGACCACGTAAATTATTATTATTTTTGAACTAGTTAGTTTTTATTTTTTGAAATTTTTTGTTGGAAATTATTTTATAACAACAAGCAGCTGCCTTGTAAAAAATCTATATATGTATATTTCTTTGCAAAATTGATTTGAATATACTTTGCGCACTATTGACATTTTTATTACAACAAAACATCTGGGAAAAGTTTTTGAGATAAAATAATTTTTTTTCTAATTGGCAACACTAAAGCTTAACTAATTATACTTCTCTGCAAAATTAATTCAATTATAATTGGTGAACTATTTGAATTTCTATTACAACAAATCTTCTGCGAAATCAAATTATAGCAAAATACTTTTTTTGGTTCCAACGCTAAAGCTTAACTAATTACCAAAAAATTTTTTTGTGAATATGGTCTAAAGCCAAATAAAATATATATGCTGTCAATTGGTTGCTTGCCAGCACCTTAACTGCGTGCAACAAAATTCTATAATTATACATCCATACGAATATGTATATATATTTATCTATAAAATAATACTAAACTAAAAAAATAATAAATATTTATATTTTTATACAAATAAATAATTAAACTAAAGCTATATTACGTACTTTAAATAAAAATAAAATTCCACACAAAAATCAAAGCTGCAACAAATGCATAACATCACTTACTTTTTATATAAAATGTATTCTAATGCAATTTATATTATTTTGTATAAAAAGTATTAATATATATATTTTTATTAATTTTAATTTGTATACAAAACTTTTCATATGTGTAACAACAACAGTACGTTAGAGTATAGTAAGATTGTATGTACGTACACAAATCACTGCTCGCGCATGCGCAAAGCCTCCTTGCGCACATATGGGTGAATAGTGTATATATGCGTTTAACGAAAATATACTGCTTCTTTCTCCATACTGCTTCGTTTCCATGTAATGCCGATTTATCAAGTAACTTTGTATACATACATACATACATAAATTCAGTTGATAATCTAATCAGATATGTATAACATAAAGTTTAGGGTTGAGCTTTTATGATTTATTTGGGTATTAGTTTTCGTGTAATTTTTGTAAAAAAGGTGTATTTTGGAAATATATTTTTATATACATATATCTAATGGCATAAGCTTCACTCCTATTTCTAATCATTTCACTTTTCTATGTATATATTTATTTGTGTGGTTTTAATCTTGTTGCCATTTATATCCGGTTTTGTGGCTCAAACCAAATTTATGAATGACAGCAGGATGCCTATTATTCTATATTTAAAATATTACTTTTTCTAAATTTTTTTTTTCAATTAATATAATTTACCATAACTTTTCACAATTTTGAACATTGCACGAAAGCTTTGAATTTATTGACCCGCAATCTATTTAGACCAGTGCAAAAAACTTTGAAAATGATAAATAGTGAAAAACATTCATGGTAGGTTGAAACCGAAATTTACGGTCGATGATAATGAAAATATTTACAACTTTTGTATAACATCTTTTTTTACAAAACTTCAAAATTTATGTGAATAGTCAACTATCCAATGTTTTGGGTTTTTTATTTTTATCTTGTACAAGAAAAATTTCTTTTAAGAAATTTGATGTAAACTTGTCCAAAACACACCAATATAAAGAGAAATTTTACTTCAACTAAAAATCGAAAAATCTTACTTTTCAATCAAAAATGTCGCGTGTAATAGTTGTTGTTAAAATCTCTACTTTCTAAAAGTGTAAGGTTGTTATAAAATATACTATAATGCAACCCCGGCTAACAGAGTAATGAAAAAAGGTTTTACATTCAGATAATCTCAAGCATTTGTTGGTGTGACAATACCAAAGGCAGATTTTGAAGTGTAAACTCAAAGTTAGTACTATATATGTAGATCCGACTTATTTAATAAAAAAAGTAAGCTTTTAAGGTATAAGTTAACAAAACAATAATTTTTCTTCGTCAACATCCACTTAAACTTATTTAAAGAAATCAAATAATTTGGGGTTAAGATTTAAAGAAGAGCTCATCAGATCTCGCCCGTTGTGAAAATTATTAGATCACGCGAAGAAATTTTAGGTGAATATTTTGGGTAGTGAGATCGAAGACAAATGGGAAAGGCTTATTTATACTTACATCGTATTACTATGCTGAGTGTGGTAAATGGGGCTATTATAGTTCTCTTACATCAAAGAGTCGAAATGCTACTAAAGTTACAGGGAAAGAGGCACTACGTACAGCAGATTAAGACATATGGGTGTGTTATGTTGAGTAATCATAGATAAGAGAAACTTCTTGTACTGACTTTCCAGTCTAGTGAGTGTTGTACATATACTCATTAGAATCTGTCTTAGTGACATGTAATATAAGTATGTCTTTAGCTGAAGCAATACTAACTTGGTGATGATTATGTGCGTGTTTCTTTAGTAGAAATTATTACTAACTCTTATTCTGAGATATAAATTTTAATGTGTTTTTAAAGCATAAAAAAATATTCTTAGGGCTATAAATGATAGTTTGTTTTAACTTTCGTTATTGAATAAAATTGTATTTTTTTGTTCCACGAAAACTTTGCTCATCTATTTCGGAAATACTTCCATTCGGTTTGCAGCCTTAGTGATAAGATGGCGTTTATAGATTTTTATTATTATTTATTAATATTTTTTTTAAATTTCTGCTATTATAAATACTTGGAAAATAAATTCGAAAATAATATAAATAATTTTGATCGCTAATTACATTCTAGATATTTTACAAAAATATGTGTTTATATGTATACAAATATATAATTTATACACTTATACTCTTTATAAATTTATTTATTTAATTTTCACTGATTAACAATTTTTATTTGTTAAAGTACAAATAATTTGTATAGTTCATAAACTTACGTTTGTTCAAACTCACGCAAAATACTACTAGCGTTAGTAAATGTAAAAAATAAATACAGTTGCGTCAATAAATTCTTTGTTATTGAAAATTATAAAAAAAAGATAGCAACAAATAGACATACATACATATTATTAAATATAACATAAATTATATCAGCTATGACATCTGATAATAAAAGGTAAATGTTTAATTGAATAAAAAACGAAAATGTAAGAGCAATGAAAGCGTCGGAGAGTTCACAATGACGAGAGCTGAGAGTGGCGGAGCAGAAATGCATTGAAAGCACAAGCGCACGTGTCGCAACATTTGTATTGCACTGTGTTTAAATACGGTAAATTCAATAAGAAAGCACACAACAATAACAACAACAACTACCACAAAACAATGTAAACAAAACACAAAAAAGCCGATGACAGATGAAACAATGTTACTCAAACAATCAAATACAATAAATGAAGCAAACGAAAAATGCACGAACGCACACATTGAAACAAAAACAAAAAATAACAAAAAAATAATACAAAAGCACGCTGAAGTGCATGCTCATACATGCACAATTATGAATGCAACGGCGTTAAACGGTTAATGTAAAACAATGTTATATAGTCGTTATAATAAAATATGCAATTGTAATAAAAATTTAAATGCATTTGAATTCAATAAAATGAAAGCTGAGTGGCATTTGAATTCCCGTTGATAAAAATGCATAAATTAATGAATTTATGATATGAAAAGTTTTGTTGGTAGCTGAGAAAAAAAAGTTATAATATTACAATAAAAATTAATGAAAAATTATCAGACAAATACTGTTTTTATGTACAAAGGGCAGAAAAAAGTAAATAACATTAAAAATAAGTAAATTAAAAAATGAATTTAAATAAAATAAAGCAAAATGAAATAAAATAATTTAAAAATAAAAATGCTATAAGTTCAACTTTAAAATGTTATCAAGTTCATTGAATATCACAAATTAAATTCTTAAAATGGTTTTTGTGTCAAATAATTATCAAATACATATCACTATATGGCCTATTTTTTTATTTACAAAAAAAAGAAAGAAACAAATGACAGCAACACGAACGCAAGGCGCCAACTGTTGAAATTAGACCGGCAGGAGCGGCGTTTTGCTTTGTAAATGTGTTGGTGCGTCGCAGCTGAGTTGAGAATTTTGCTAAATATTTTAATTAGAATTTATTACTGTACGATTTTTAACATTTAAATATATATACATATATGACAAAACAAATGAAATTTATGTGTTCTGTAACGGTAAAGAAATTGAATTTGTATGACATTATATAACTAAATTAAGAACTACATACGACAACAAATACGAAGAAAATAACGCAGAAGTTGCGCCAATTAATTTCGAATACTGTTTTCAAGCGAATGATATATACTTTAAGGCGCTTAAACCGATGAACAAGTTAAGATGCTAGAATGAGACTTTTTACAGCTATAATTTTAGTGCTTCTATCAATTTGATAAAAAGATATAGAAATAAATAACAAATGAAATATATTAAAATTAAAGTAATTAATAAATAAAAATTACGTTTTACTAAGAAAAATTCCAAGCCGATTAAAAAATGAAAAGAGAAATTAATAAGGTAAAATAAAACAAAATAAAGTCTGAAATCAAATTAAAAAGTATGAAAGAGTATATAAATTAATAAATGGAAAAAAAAATTAAATATAAAAAACACATAATAAAGTCACATTAAAGTACACAAAGGAATAAAATAAATTAAAATAGAAAATTATTTAACTAAGAAATAAACATATAATTAATTTTATTTAATCAAAATAAACAAAGCAATAAAAAAATAAAAATTGAAATATAAAATAAAGATTATATATATAAAATTACATAAAAAGAAATAAAAAAATAATAAATAAATAAATAGTAAAATAAAATTAAAAAAAAACAAAAGGTAAGTTATAATAAAATAAACTGCAATAAAAAAGTAAAGTAGATTATCTAAATAAAAATAAATCATATATAACATTAATAAATAAAATTTAAAAAATACAGTTAAATAAAACAAAATGAACAAATATAAAATAAAAAAAGTTAAACAAGAAATATTAATATAAAACATACTTAAATAATGTAAAGAAATATAAAACTAAGTATAATGAAATTTAATATAATTAAAAAGAAAGTATATAAAATAAAATACAAAGTAATAAAAGAAATAAAATAAAAAGTATATATTAAATAAAAAAAAGTTACAAAAACAAAAGAAAATAAAATAATTAAGTGAAGATAAATTATATTAACCCTAATTAAATAAAAACAACTAAATGAAAAAATATATAAAAAGATAATAAATCCAAAACCAATAATAAAAAAATAAAAATAATAATAAATTAATAAAAAATAAAATGAAATAAATAAAGCTATAAAAAAATTGTCTATTTAATTTTTTTAAAATAAATTTAAAAGAAAATAAAATTCACGAAAATCATTTGAAAAGTATTCTTTGAAATAGTAAAAAACTTGTATATAAAAACATTCAATAACAAGTAAGGAAGGGCTAAGTTCGGATGTAACCGAACATTTTATACTCTCGCAAAGTCAAATGGTATACTCGTTTGAGATTTCTTTGTGGATTGGCTGATATTTTCGGTAGAAGGTCAACTATAGGCACTGGGGTCCACATATTTAGTACTTAGGGGCTTAAACAGTTTTGGTTCGATTTAGACAATTTTTGGCCACAAGGTGGCATACTTTAATCGCATTATTCACGCAAAGTTTTATCCTGATACAGTCATTGTTGCCTGATTTGCATAGTGGAAAGTGAAATAATCAGATGGAATTTAAAATGGTGTTATATGGAAAGTAGGCGTGGTTGTAGTCCGATTTCGCCCATTTTTGCACTGTGACATAGAAACATGAAAAGAACGTTATGCACCGAATTTGGTTGAAATCGGTTAAGCAGATCTCAAGATATGGGTTTTCACCTAAAAGTGGGCTGTGCCACGCCCACTGTCTAATTTTGAACGCGGTTCCTATAAAGTCATCTCATACCATCCCAGAGATAAAATTTAATGACTCTGGCGTGTTTAGTGCTTGATTTATCGCGCTTTTAGTAGTTTTTAACAGTACCGTTATATGGGGAGTGGGCGGAGTTGCCACCCGATTTCAACTATTTTCACACCGTCAATAGAAGTGCTAAAAATATTTGCTTCCAGTGAATTTTGTTATTATAGCATTAGCGGTTTAGGAGATATGCACATTAAACCTATTAGAGGCGGGACCACGCCCACTTTTTTAAAAAAAATTTTAACTGCAGATGCCCCTCCCTAATGTGATCCTGTGTACCAAATAACAGTCTTGTATCTTATTGCGGAGCTTAGTTATGGCAAGTTATTTGTTTTTGATTAATGGCGTTTTGTGGGCGTGGCAGTGGTCCGATTACGCCCATCTGCAATACCAACTGTCTCACGGTACCATGAAACATGTCTACCAAGTTTCATAAAGATATCTCAATTTTTACTCAAGTTAGAGCTTGCACGGACGGACGGACGGACAGACAGTCACCCGGATTTCAACTCGTCTCTTCATCCTGATCATTTATATATATATAACCCTATATCTAACTCGATTAGTTTTAGGTGATACAAACAACCGTTAGGTGAACAAAACTATTATACTCTGTAGCAACAGGTTGCGAGAGTATAAAAATTCATATGTAAAACTAAAACATTATTTATTATATTTAAAATAAACTAAAATTCATGAAAATCATTTAAAAAGTATTATTTAAAATAGAAATTGTTATATAAAAAATACAATAAAAACTCATATTTAATACTAAAAAATAAAATTAATCAACAAATATAATTGATTAATAAAAACATAAGTTTGTATATTGTTGTAAACATATTTTCACCAAAACCGCATGGAAGCATAAAAACTAAAAATCCTTTCTTTGAGTATGCCAGAGAATTAAAAACGCTTTAAAATGTAGTGTGCATTAATAAAAAAGTAGAAACAAAACAATATTCACTTTTTTGTAATATTTTTAATAAATCAATGAAAATTGTTAAAGTAGACTTTAATAGTATTAAATTAGGCAGTGTTTAAACAGCGAAATGAAATAAAACAAAACAAAGTTTTCTTTTAATGTTTAATTAACTTTTCAATTAATAACAAAATATAGCTGCAATATAAGAAATATGCATATAGGTAATTTTAGTTAACTGCTACAGCTAGACAACGTACATACACACAACAAAAATGCAACAACAATAAATAAAAAATTAAAATATTAATAAAAAAATATATATAATTGCCTAGCTAAATTATAAAAGTTCTCTAAAATAATTTAGAACTTCATACAATAAACTGAAAATTAAAGTAACAGAAAGAAAACATAACACAATGTTAAGATATTTATACATGTAGCAAAAGAGTCTATGAGAGGATATAATTAAAGCAGAAGTAAGTGTGCATTAGAAAATCAGCGAAAAATCACAATAAGTATTTAAATACTAAAAGACAAATAAGTAAAATAAAATTCAAAAATAGTAGACTTACGAAACTGCAAAAAAAAGTTATATAATATAGTAAATAAAATATTAATAATAAATAAAAAATAGTAATAGCAATAAAGTAAGTAGAAATTAAAGTAAATTATTAAATACTAAGACAAATAATGCGTAAATAATGATTACTTTCTAAAATAAGTGAATTTATTTCCTGTTTGAGTGTTCAGCAAAAGCAAGCGATATTACTTACAAAAACTTTGTAAAGGAAAATCAGGAAGAATATTACGCAAAAAAAAACAAAAAACACTATACATATATTATATATGAATAAAATTATATAAAAATATGTTTAATAAAATTATTATAATATAAATAGAGCAAAATACAATAAGAGCACTAAACACATATTACAACTTTGGAAATACAGTCTACAAAATACAATAATTAACACAGTAATTTATAGTATAAACTAAGTGAAAATGGACAGTAAAAATAAATGTCAAAATGTTTCAAATTCAAAACATACAGTTTAAAAAACTTAAGACATAAACAAAAATCCGTTATACAGTATACAGCAAATACTAAAAATAACTTTGTAAAGTACTGCAATTACAATACAGAATTCCATAAGCTAAGCAAATATAATGGTTATGCAGCAAAAGAATATTTAAATAACTCAACAGAATCTAAACTAAAATCCCGTGAAAAGTTTTCTAAAATTATTAATGCAATAAGTTTTAGAAAATTACAAAACTAAAAAACTAAGAAACAAAAAAATTCAATTAAAACCCACACAAAAACCCATATTTAATTTCAGAATATTATAAAAACCAAACACATAATTACCTTTGACAGCAAACAAAGCAAAAATAAGCTAAAAATGATTTAAAAAGAAATTAATTAGCAATTATCTAGTGAACATTTTAAGCTATAATCTAAATCTGATGCAGCAAGTAATCCACACATAAGTAAATATTCATTAAATAATGTACAATTGATTAATATATA